TACTCCCCTCCCAGAGCCAAGGGATAGAACCCAGGAGTCCTGGCTCCCAGCCCCCCTGCTCTAACCCCCAGACCCTACTCCCCTCCCAGAGCCAAGGGATAGAACCCAGGAGTCCTGGCTCCCAGCCCCCCTGCTCTAACCCCCAGACCCTACTCCCCTCCCAGAGCCAAGGATAGAACCCAGGAGTCCTGGCTCCCAGCCCCCCCTGCTCTAACCCCCAAACCCTACTCCCCTCCCAGAGCCAAGGAGAGAACCCAGGAGTCCTGGCTCCCAGCCCCCCTGATCTAACCCACCAGCCCCCACTCCCCTCCCAGAGCGGGGGATGGAAGCCTCCATGGCATTGGCCCAGTCTGCCAGCAGCTCCCCCACCTGCCCATGGAAGGTGCCACGGGGCAGTTATGGGCCCCACCCAGGGTTCAGCACGAAAAGGTTAAACACGCCTAGGACCCGGGTTCTGTAGCTGCCTGATATAGGATCTGGGTCTAGTGGTTAGAGCAGGGGGGCTGGGAGCCAGGACTCCTGGGTTCTCTCCCCCGCTCGGGGAGGGAGGGTAGTGGGTTGGAGTTGGAGGACTAGATGGCCAGGCCTGGAGAATGACTAAGGGGCATTGAGCTGTGGGAAGGGGGTGGGGGCTGTAGGTCGGGACTGAGGGGCACCGGCGGGGGCTGTGCTAACTCCTGTGGTACAGGCCCATCGCCCCGGGCGTCAGGCCTCTTAATCTGCGGCTTCTGGATGACGCAGTCACTGCCTCTGGAACAAATCAGCCACGCAGCGAGGGGCAGCTGGTATGTCTCCGTGCACACCTAGAGCTGGGTGCAGCCAGCGCCACCGCCCAGCCCCCCGCTCTAACCACTAGACCCACTCCCCTCCCCAAGCCAGGGAGAGAACCCAGGAGTCCTGGCTCCCAGCCCCCCCCACCCCCAAACTCTAACCACTAGGCCCCACTCCCCTCCCCAAGCCAGGGAGAGAACCCAGGAGTCCTGGCTCCCAGCCTCCCCCAACCCCAAGACCCCACTCCTCCACTGATCTTCCCTACAAAAATACCCCCAATGCTGCGAGCTTCCCCCCAGCAGTGCCATCCACCTCCCGGACCTGTGGCGGTCGGGTTCGATCGGGGACATTCCTGTGGTGGGGCCGGGGGATTGAATTGCACAGGACGGGATGTGGGGGGGGAACAGGTAGAGCCAGTGCCCGGGAGTTTTCCAGCCAAGCCAAGCCCAGCCCAGCCCGGGGCCGCCCCTGGGTCTGCCGGCCCGGCCCAACCCAGCCCAGTCCTATAACAGTCCCGTGAGGCAGCGCCGGCCCCACAGCCGGCCCGAGCCTGCGACAGCATGGGGGAGCTACTGGGCCTGTGCGTGCTGGCTGCGCTGCTGGGCACAGGTGAGGGGGGGCGGTGCACACCCCAGGGCACCGGTCCCCAGCCCCCAGCCCCAGGGCACCCCATACCCAGTCCCCAGCCCAGCCCCAGGGACACCCCTGTACCAGTGCACCGGACCCCAGCCCCCAGGGACACCCGGTCCCCAGCCCCAGGGCACCCCATACTCAGCCCCCAGGGCACCCTGTTCCCAGCCACAGGGACACCCCTGGACCCAGCCCCCAGGACACCCCCCATTCCCCAGCCACCGGGTACCCCTGTACCCCATTCCCCAGCCCCAGGGACACCCCTGTATCCAGCCCCCAGGGCACCCCGTCCCCAGCCCCCCAGCCCCAGGGACACCCCCATTCCCCAGCCCCAGGGCACCTGGTTCCCAGGCCTCAGGACACCCCCCATACCCAGCCCAGCCCTAGGGCACCCCTGTACCCAGCCCCCAGGACACCCCCCATTCCCCAGCCCCAGGGACACCCCTGTACCCAGCCTTGGGGCACCCTGTACCCCTGCACCCATCCCCCAGGGCCCCCCTGTCCCCACTGCCAGATGGCCATAGACACTCACTACCGTATCCCTCGTCTAGCCCCATACACAAGATCTATCTAGCCCCACAGACACCTCCTCTGGCTACCTACGGAGGGAGGGGGG